GGATTACTGTGATGTTGAAAGGTCTGCCTTGGATTCGTATTTAAATCATTCTATCATTTTTGAGATTGTATCCCAATAGAGCTTTTCCCACTCTTTTGTTGACTATGAGGGCTACTCCATTTCTTCTACAGGATTCTTGCCCACAATAGTAGTTATGATAATTGTCTGAATTGAATTCACCCATTCCCACTCATTTTAGTTCACTGACGCCCAGGAGGTCAATGTTGATTCTTACTATCTCGTTTGACCACATCCAGCTTACCAAGGTTCATAGATCTTACATTCTAGGTTCCTATGCAGTATTTTTCTTTGCAGCATTGGACTTTCCTTTCACTTCTAGGCACGTCCACAGCTGAGTGTCTTTTCGGCTTTGGCCCAACCACTTCATTAGCTCTGGAGCTACTTGTACTTGTCCTCTGGTCTTCCTCAGTAGCATGTTGGATGCCTTCTAACCTGAGGGGCTCATCTTCCAGCCTCATATCTTTTAGCTTTTTGTTTCTGTCCATGGAATTTTCTTGGCAAATATACTGGAGTGCCTTGCCAGTTCCTGCTCCAGGCGGATCGCGTTTAATCAGAACTCTCCACTATGACCTGTCCATCTTGGGTGTCCCTGCACGGCATAGCCCATAGCTTCTCTGAATTACTTAAGCCCCTTCACCACGACAAGGCAGCAATCCGTGAAGGAGAAAGAAAAAAATAGTCCAGAGCATAGATGCTTCAATAGCATATGCTGTTGTGTATGCAGCAACTGCTACAATAATTCTGCTGGGTAGACCTAGCAGTATCATACACACATTTAACCTCCTTCCAGAATATGTGGGGCAGTTAGGTCCTGTTGAAAGAACCTGGGCAGGATCAGCTATTTTGCTAGTCTGAGTCATAAGTCACATTTCTAGAGGCCTTATTTCAAAGTTACATCCCTTCAACCGCCTTTTCTTCCTGGGCTCACTTCTTACCTCTTTCTTCTAATCTTTTTCTGTAACTAAAATGCTTCTGAAGATGTTGGCAGTGAAGATATTTTTGTTATCTTCTCCCCCTCAAAAAGGAATGGGTGAAGTGGACTTATTGTTTAATTGAAAAATGTAAAAATGCTCCCTGAATGTGCACATCAAATTGTATTCTCCCATATTAATGTAGAATGTTGATTAACGAAAGAAAACAAGGGGCACTTCCCTTGGCTTGTCATTTCTGATCAGCTTACTAACAGAAGAGTTATAGATGAATAATTTTATCATTACCACAAGCTGCTCTTGTATTCCTTTTCTTCCCAGGACAATACACAAGAAATGGCCAAGGTGATGAAATTGTTTCACTCCCTCAGAAATCATTGGAAAAAGACAACAGTGGGGGCCTGCTTGCTCACTTGGGGAGGAAACTGGCTGTATGGAAAACACTGGTAATTATTATGTAGACTCTAAATTATTACTGAAATTAAGATTTTTTTAAAAGAAAGTAGATCAGAGTTTACAGCCAAACTAGTGGATACATACAGAAATAATAGTGGCATGTAAAGTGTTACACGGATGGTCTCCTAATTATATGTGTTTTTAAAAAAGTTACAGATAATTCTGAATGTAATTGGAGTAGTGACATTATGATGTGTCAGGGATGATACTTCCAAGCTTTGGCTTTTCCCATTTATTCAGTTTCTTTTTTCTTGAGCGTCTAAAATTAGATCAGAAGGAATTGTTACTGGGAAAGTTGAGTAAAGTGAATTTTCTATTAAAAGTGCCATACCTCCCATATACCTTGGAGCAATTCAGAGCTGCAGTAGAGTCTGAGAAGCTAGGCTATTGGAAGGTATTTATGTGCCCTTACAAAATTGTGAATACTGTACTTTTATACTTGGACCGTTGGAAAGCAGGGATTTTGTAAGGCCAGTGTGTTTTAATTGCCCACTGATAATGAAGCCATTTCAAAGTAGTCTAAAGCAGAATAGCTCAGAACAATATATTCTTGCTGGGAAAAAATCTTTTCCCTGTACTACTGTGAGGGTTGTAGCTGAAGTCAGAGAGAACAGGGAGTTGGGAAGCAGTTGGGCAGATGATGTCCTCATCCATCCTGATCAAAACTTGCCACAGTTTTCATCCTTATTAAACCTGGCTCCACTGCACAAATCCACAGTTCAGTTAATTGTTGAAATGAATGTGAGGCCATTCACCTGAACTGTTGAGCAACATTAGAAAATATTGATAAATACATTATATGTACTTTGCCATACAAGTGAGCTTTCATTGCTGCAGAGATTGAGGCTAAATTACTATGCTGAAAGCATACTTGACTAGCTCCTTATAGTGCCCCTTTATAATAGATTAAAGGTTTAGCAAAATCTTCTCCCTCTATTTCTGACATAGTTGGAGCTTCTAATGCAAAGAGTGCTGCTTTAGTTCAACATTGCTTCAGCTTAGCCTTTGACTTCCAGGAATTAGCTGTTTTAGGCATTGCTTGTTCATTTGCTGCTGAAGAAGGACTTCTTCCATAGGGAAAGGGGGAGAACAGGGAGGCAGTGCCAGAACTTTCTCCAATTAGCTCTTAGTTATTCTTGAATAGCGCATCTGGGCTCAGACAGTGGAATGTGCAGCTTTAATTTTTTAATTAGAATTAAACTGTAGATTTAGAGGCAAGTCGTTTGCTGCTTCCCAGTTGAAACATTCAGATTCCTGAAGCTGCTAATTATGTTCCAGATGCAAGGGGTGGTGGTGGGAGGAACTATGATGCCTGTACATTTTTTTTCTTTTGGGACAAAGAATTTTGATAGAGAGGGTATTTAATATGGGGAAGATATTGTGATAGGAAAAGGATGAACCCACTTTCCTTGCTACTGGCATCAGGTCCTTCCACAGTGGCTGATGCTGTTCAAAAAATTAAAAGCCCAGGAGATCATAACCGCAGGTGTCTGTTGGCAAGACATTGTACCCTATTTTTTAATTTTAAAATTAAGGCACTGTGTATGCCTAGAAAGATTGAAAGGATGCTTGTCTAACTGAAGCAGTGATTTCGAGATGTGGCAGGTGTAACTTTGGTCCAGGTCCGATTTTTTTCATTCTACATAGAGAACGTAACTTTTTTGAAGAACAGATCCCAGAACATTCCAGCTGGCATGGTCAACCATGCTGAGCGGGAACACAGAGAGCTATAGTCCCCAAAAGTAATTTTCCATCTTGTGATAACAGGGACATAACAGGCAAAACAAAAATAAAAATTAAAAAAAAGAAAAAATGTGGCATCTTAAAGATTCACTGCTATATTTTAATGTGAGCTTTTTGCAGATAAGGCCACTTCCTCAGAACAGTTAATTTTGCAGGCAACTGACAGAAATGTGATACAGTATGTCATTACGTTCCCAGGAAACTTTTCATTTCATAGTAGTTTCTCCTGTATCAGAGGCAAATAGAAAGTAGATATTTTGTGTATTCTCAAAGGCTTTCACGGCCAGGATCTGATGGTTGTTGTGGGTTTTTCGGGCTCTTTGGCTGTGTTCTGAAGGTTGTTCTTCCTGACGTTTCACCAGTCTCTGTGGCTGGCCTCTTCAGAGGACTGGAGTAGCACTCTGTGCTCTGGTGCAATTTGTTTGGGAGTGGGATCAGCTTTTTCAGGAGATGGGTGATTATGTTGAGCATGGACAGAGCCCGAAAAACCCGAAACAACCATTAGATCTTTTGTCTAATTTTGTGCACAGATTGTGCACAGATGGATGGAGATGTTTTCTGATCAACAGCATAAATAGGATTTCCAGACAGTTTTACATCCAGTCATAGACCAGACCCAGAGCTTCATTAACATGGCTTGTGCATTTACAGTCCAGTCATGCCATTCTGGACTCCAGGAGATTGAAAATAGCTGCTTAAAAATGAAATAAATCCAGTTTCTTTTAAATGGCTGTCCTTGTGCTGATTCCTTTTGCCGGCACTAGTGTTCTCAATGTCAAAAGCAGGAGTCTTAATTGGTTGCCTCTGATCAGATCTTCTATAGTGTGGCTGGCCAGTTTGAGAGCTTTGTGTTGGTATCTTTGATCGGTAATAACTCAGAAGTGGATTTGGACTTAAATGTGCAGGGCTTTCCTAAGAGGTAATGACATGTAGGAGGTAATTGGCTCCACTTTGAAATTACAGTTTTGTTCCTGGCTTTGGTGCGTGAATGTTGGGTTCTAGTTAAAAAACATCACAGGTCCTGCAAACCTGAAGCATTAAACAAGGCCAAACACACCTGAAATTCAGCAAAGTCCTTAACTTCGAGAAAGCTTAAGATTCTGTCTTCTCCTTGTTTTGAGGTAAGGAGATGGATAGTGGTGCCCATGATGAAGTCCTGCTTTCCTTTGTATTCTGCAAGCAGTTGCCACTATGTCTACAGTATCTTATAAAAGATGGTTGTGCTTTTCAGAGTTAACTGGGAAGTACAGTTTGCAAAGGAAATAATTGATTTAGTCATTCACTTTCACCCAGGCCCTGTTATCAGGAAACAAGCTTAAATCCAGATTTACTTACACAACAGTACTGTATGTATTGAAGTCCTCTTTTGGATTTAGTCTGATGTTATAGTCATTGACAGCAGCAGTTATTGATGACACAATTAATTTTATTCTAATATTAGCAACAGCAACGTATTTTGCTGTACATATTTTTTGTAAAGTTATAGACTGGCCTGCTCATAATACTACTTTAGTAGCCCACAAAATTAGTAGCCTGCTAAATTTCAGGATTGAATCTTCGCTATAGGGTTAGTGCAGGTTTTCTTTACACCTCTTTTGTCTATCTCTGTTAACACCTGCTCAAGTTATAAATATAGCCTGTGTGTGTGTTTGTACCAAGAGAAATGGTAAAATGTAGAAACATGAAAAATTTCAAAGGTAGTACTGAAGCTCAGGCTTAAATAATCAGATAGATTACATCTTGATTTGCCATACTTGCTGAGGAATTATTGGAGTTGTAATTCTGTAACTGAAACAGATCTCTCAAGCAGTCAGTTACCAACATGAAAAGTATAGATATTAATATGTTCCAACTGAAACAATGGAACAAGTTGCATTGTGGATGGCTGTCTTGACTGAGTGTTTTGGACATTATAGTCCTATGACAAAAATGGCCAGAGCTGGAAACACAAACTTTGCCTATAAATACTTTTGGTTTCCTGCTCACAGTAATGACATATTGAGTGCCCATGTTGTCTGTGGGGATTCTTGGAATGTAGTCCAAACAATTTACTTGCAGGGATTCTGGAAATTGTCATTTACTTAGCTCTCAAGAGGTGTGCTATGGGAAGAGCTGAAACAGAAAATTTTCTATATTTAGATTATATCTGGACCGTTCGTTTAGTATGAGTAGTTTTGGAAGTTGCATTTCTGCTTCCGAAACAAAATGGTCATGGCAAGAAACATACAATGTTACATGCACAATATTGATTCACAAGGTAAATAACTGGGTAAATTACATTTTGACAGCTATGCTCCTTTTGAGATTAAAGCACTTGTAGTCCAAAGATATTAGCTGGGGAATTATGAGAGCAAAAAGTTCTTTTGCCTCAAGAGATCTCCAAAATGGTAAGAGACTTAATGTACGAAGAGTACTGATCGCCTTCTCCAATAACTAGACAGGTTATATTTCTATAGGACCTCTGGGAGGCAATTTTAGGAGTTGTAGTCTCAGAAAATTGCATTTCTACATTGTGAATACTGGGCTTAGTACTGGCACGGAGGGAGAGAGAAAAATATGAACATTAAAAAAAAATTGGGGTAGGGCAAGAAGAGAGAAGGAGAGCACTGGAATGGGATGGTGGGGCTAGTGAATTTCTAACCCTGCTGCAAGTTAAATAAATAGTGGCCTATGGAGATGGAACGAGGTCAGTATGAGACAAAGAATTTGGGATGAGAAGGATGGAAGAGCAAGGGTACTAGGTGTGAGGAAGGGACTCATGGATCTTTAATCAAGGAAAGCTGGGCAATTTTGCTAGTTTTTAGGCAGGGGTGGTATTATCTGTTGCTTTATCTCTTTGGATAGTGGGCAGTTTCCTAATCTTGGGTGGCCCAAATTTTAACAAATGTCCCCACCAAAAAAATAACATTGGGGGAGAGATCTTCTTGTTACACACTGTCAATTCTGCACCAAAAACAAAACAAAACAAAAAAAAAAACACATTGGGGGAGAGATCTTGTTACACACTGTCAATTCTCCTTCAATGTATGGTGACTATAAATGAACAATCTTCAAAATGTCCTGTTCTCAACAGCCCTGCTCACCTCTTGCAAACTCAACCCCCCAGATTCTTTTAGGGAGTCAATCCATTTCTCATTTGGACTTCCTCTTTTCCTGCTGACTTCAACTTTTCCCAGCATTACTTATTATCTTTTCCAGAGAAGAGATATACTGCCACCAAAATTGCCAATGCAACAGCAGCTGAAAA